ACTAGCACGGTATAACCTGGGGGTTTGGAACTGGCTCTTTAGCAAATTAAGGCTTTGCATACCTGGGGGAGGTGAAAGGAGGGTGCCCCTGGGAGACAACTCTGAGGAACTGCCTACAGTTGAATTAACAAGTTGTATCTACAGAAGTAACTGTAGATCTTCAACCCTTTTCCTGCACAGAGGGGCTGTTGCACACATAACTATTTGCATGCATAAATATGTGTTGTCTTGGACAGTTTAAATTCCAAACTCTGAAAACATAAGCCTGTTTGGGTCTCTAAGCCATCAGTGGATTAAATCCACCTCGCATAGCTGTGCTTCAGCCAAGCAACAGCAAACGCAGCTTCTACCCATCTTCCTTTTAGCTGGTGGCTGCTAGACATCAATATTGTACTTCACACATACGCTCCCTCTGTGGGAATCCACACAGCCTTTTCTTTTTTCTGGGCTATAAAAAGTTGAATTAGGCTGCCAGTGACTGCTAAGTGCTACACTCTGCTCCCCATTGCTGGATATATTAAGGATACGGGGCTCTGGGCTCCTCATTCTTGGCTCCTTGAGGCAGCAGAGCTGGCTGTGTGTCACCACCACAACCACGCTGTGCAGGAAACACTTTCAGACCTGTGAGGTTATCACTAGGCTGACGGTTCACTCTTTTGGACTCTGAAGATACAATTCTCTTCCCTCACCGGTTTTAGGAACAAATTAGAAAATGGTAGCAGTTGATCTGGTTTTTTAAAAACCTCACTTGAGTTAAGGGCAGGGGGTTTCTTTGTATGTTTTGAAACTTTCAGAGAAGTTGGGCTTCCTTCATCATTGAAACACATATACTAAATATAAGACTATAAAATACATCTTATCCTTGACTTGACCTTAAGGGATTTTAAAAGACTTTCTCTAATAGAAGATGATCTGGTAACTGGACAGACTTTACTGCATCTATGCGTGGTTAACAGTGGGTCTTCTGATTAACTGGAGAAACTTGTTCTGGGATAACACCAAGTATAGCCTGGGTATTACTGAATGAGGGGAGATGATGTTTCAGATGCCTCTCTTCTCCCGTGGTGGTGAGAATTGTCTCACCACATCCATCCTAATGTGAATTCTGGACTCAGTGTAACTAATTTTGGTGCCGCTATCCACTAGGTTGTAAGTGGTGCAAAATTCAGGCCCAGCTGATGCCTTCGCTCCCAGGGAGGGAGTCATCGGGCCCTTTTCTTTCTCAGAGCAATTTTGTGCTATCAAGTATATTGAATCTTACCTAACCAACAGGAGACTGCTGGATGCAATAGCGTTAAGTAGTTTAAGGCTTGCTTTCACTGAGAGCTCTTAATACATTAAAACTGTAGGAAGCCAGTCCATTTTAGACAAACAGCTTTTAGTCCGTTGGTATTTCACTATATATGTAAAACTCCAGGAGCTCATCACTCTAGCTGTGATCTTGAACAAACCAACAATTGATTTACTAATAGGCAAAAGATATTACAGGTTCTAGATTACAAAACATTCCCCTAATTGGACTTTATATTGTAATTGTAAAATTGTCTGCAATACAGCTCTTCTGGCTTTATTGCTGTAAGCAACACACTCATTGAAGTCTAGTGGTATCTGATCAAACACAATCAGTTCTTATCCAGGCAAGAGAGTCAGTCATCGATAAACTTTCCAGGATATGTTTCACAGCCATACCAAGTATTTATCTGCCACTGGCTTTGGGTTGAAGTTGCATCAGTGTAGGACTTGCAAAGGCTGTTGAAGAGTGACCTAGAATGGATTCATGCTTATGTGCTGGTGACATTTGGGATATAATGGTCACTGCCTGTGGGGCACTGGCAAATACTGACAAAACCGCTGTGGGGCTCAGGGATGGAGCTGGCAGTTAATGCTGCGCCCAGAGTGGTTGGTTGTAGGTCTGCGATGAGCAGTTCTGTAAAGTGGATATTTAACCTGCTTCTGGTAAACTATTTTGTAGAGGCAAACAGGCTTTTGGGAGAATAGCAAACACATAGATACTCTTACATGTGCATTGTAAGAGCCTACCTCTAGGAGTAGGGCTTTTTATTATAAAATTTAGCAGTGTTACAGCAATAGTGGTTTTTTTATATCTATGAGTTTTAAAGGCCATCCCAGTGGAAAGCTCTGAGGTGTACAGAAGAAGGCACTTGGCTATTTCGTTGGATCTTGATATTGCTAAACAGCTGTAGAAACTAGAAGTCTTGTTGTGACTGGCATATCCAGCACTTGGCTTATTAGAGAAATATTTGGGGCTTTTTAATGCTATACTCAGTGTTTTTAGGCTCAATAAACACCTAAGTACAGATTCAAGGTCAGATTAGAGTCCCACTTTTGTTAGCAGTAAGCCAAAGGTTGTGGTTGTTCATACAGACTACACAAAGATTTGAGAGCATGGATGTATTGACAGGTCTACTGTAGGCAGAGCTGCAGATGAGAATAACCCTTCTGCTTGCAAAATCTGCCCGTCTGCTGAAGTCATACTGTTTCTAGCAAACTAACTTGTTGATGACAGCAGCCTTACTTTCCATGTTGAAACACTTTTTTTGATGGAAAAAATACGTCTCTCAAAATAGTGTTTCCACTTTACTGAGCTCAACCCAGCACTGAAATGTTAGATAAGGGCTTAAGTACCATTGCTGGGGTCTTTGATGTTTGACATCAGACCTGGATCTCTATTTCATGTACCAAGTGATGCAATTTTAGCCCACTTAGTCTCACTTCTGTGGTGCTCCAGAATCTTAAAACCCAATTTTGGGAAGAACTGGCTATAGCTGATGTGATTCTGTATCATCATGCAGGTGTGGTTGAAGAACCACATGGATGAGGAAATCCTGGTAGGGAAGAAGAGCATGGCAGGGCAACAGCAATAATGAATTGGTGCACTACTCAGTGGAGGCAGTGAATCCTCTAGTTCATTGAGCAGGGTCTTATTTCATGGGGTGGAAAGCACTTACAACCTCCCAAATGGCATTGCAACTTTTGTTTAGTGTCCTTTTGCTTTAACCTTGGAGCTCTGTTTACCCAAATCTTCTCTGCTGAAACTAAATCAGCAATATCATGAAAAAGGAGTATCTTAACTGAGAAAGCAATAGCACTGATCTCCAGTGAGCCAGAGATGAACTGTTGTGTTTCTGCAGGAAGGTGTTCTCCTTATGTCTGGATATTTCTGTGCCTTATTGTACTTGCTAAAGGTAACTCGGAAACTAGTATCTGGAAGGTTTGCGGTGACTATACAGTGCTGGGTTTTAACTTGGAGGCTATTTTGCAAAGGGATAACAGTTCAGACCATGCCAGATTTTTAAGTTTTTATTTGTTCTTTCAATTTCTCTCACGATCACCAGTTCTCTCTTCCTAAATAGACAGAAAGGAAATGCACAGGATCTTTATTCTAATTTAACAAATCACATTGACCTACTTTGTTATATCAATTCTCTACAGGCAGAGTCCAGAACACACTTGTAGCCACAGGGTCTAGCCTCTTACTACAGAACACAGCTAATATTTACATTTTTTGTTTTGTTTTGCCTGTGTCTGTACAACGGACTTTGTTGTCCCTGGTTGTTCTTCAGCTTTATTCTGCTGTTTTCTTGTTGGCCATACTGGCAATGGACTTCTCGGTTCCCCACCTGCAAGTTCAGTACCACTGGGTTTTTCAGGCAACATCTGCCATGGCAAAATTACAACCTAGAATATTTTGCTGTATTTCAACTGCAGAAGCTGTAGTAGAGGAGACTCTGCTCAAGATACCTGTTCCCAAACCTGGACCAATGCAATTAGCTGCATCTGCAGCTGGAAGGGAGATAAGGGGTTTTCAACAGTACAGATGCAGCCTTAGTATTGCCACCTCTACATCTTCAGCCTCTAGATTGCAGTGTGAGAATGGACTACAGGAGTGCCGGTAACCGTGGTACAGCTTGGTGTGACTGCTGCATGTACAGAATATTAACAAATGATGGCAAGCCTTCTGCAATAACTCGTAATTCCATCGATCAGTAGTAAGCGATGTACAAATAAAACTTGATGAAATGTATTTTATGTGAAAAAATAATGTAAGAACTGTATATTGTATTAGCAGCTTTGTGTATAAAATGGCATTTTGGCAATCAGAGTCTAATATATTTAAAACTTTTTTTAAAAAAGGATATTTGATATTGTACGGAATTGACTTTATTGCTACTGTAAGTATGAAGATGGTTTCTTAACATGTTGAAGCACTGCATAAAATCTTAAACTGTATGTAAAACTCATGCCAAAAGGGTGTGTCTGACAGTATTAGCACCTGACTCAGTGTCTTTAATAGATTGAATTTTTTAATTTAAAAATTATATTAAATTTCTTTTAATAATACAAAAACGCCACTGACTTTTATTTAATTGTTTACATTTTGCAATTCTGCCTAAATGTCCCTGCCTCTTCCTCAACTGTAAGTGCAGCCAGGAATTGTCTGGAAGAGTCAATCGAGGCAGTGGGTAGGTGTAACTTTGTTTTTCAGCCGGTAGCAGTAATTTGTGACAGGGACAAGCAGGAAAGCCGAAGCTGTAACTGCCTTTTCTGGGTTTTTGTCATGTCTGAGCCATGAGGCCCAGCGTTCATTACCGCGCTTCATTAAGAGGTCTTTCTCAGGAGGGCCGATTTGGGCGAAGGCGAGAGGGCCCTGGAGCTCCCGGCCCGCCTGGCGGGGCAGCGGGGCGCGGCGGGCGCCGCAGCGAGGGCCGCGGCCGGGGGACAGGCCGGGGACAGGCCTTGGAGCCGCACGGAAGGGGCTCGGCGCGAAATGGCGGATGCCGCCAGCGCGACCACCGCGGCCCGAGCAGGGAAGTGCCGGGCCCCGCTGCCTCCGAGCCCGGGAACCACCGGGCAGCGCGGTCCCGGTCCCGCCCCGGGGCCGGGGCCGGGCCGCCTTCCCGCAGCCAACCGGGGCGCGGGGCGGGGCGCGGCGGCCCCACTGGCGGCCCCGGCGCGGAGCTGTTTGTGTTCAAAGCCGCTATAAAGGCGGCGCGGAGGTGCCGGGGCTCCAAGCCGCTGTAAGGGCGGCGCGGCGGCCGGGCCGGGCGCGCCATGGCCAACCCGTCGCAGTGCCTGGAGGAGGGCGCCGGGCGCTGGCCGCCGCGGCCGCCCGGGCCGTACAGCGAGGCGCAGCGGCTGGCGCTGGAGGAGCTGGTGGCGGGCGGCCCCGAGGCGCTGCGGGCCTTCCTGCGGCGGGAGCAGCTGCCGCCGTTCCTCTCGGAGCCCGAGGTGCAGGCCATCGCGCGGGGCGCCCTGCCGCCCGCCGCCGCCCCGGAGCCGCCGGCCGAGGCCTCGCTCGGCGCCTCCCTCGACGCCTCCTCGCTCACCTACTTCCCCGAGCGCTCGGACCTGGAGCCGCCGGCGCTGGAGCTGGGCTGGCCGGGCTTCGCCAGCGGCGCCTTCCGCGGGCTGACGCGGGTGGAGGCGCATTTCCAGCCCGGCTGCGGGGAGAGCATCTACGGCTGCAAGGAGGCGGTGCGGCGGCAGATCCGCTCCGCCCGGCAGGTCAGGGACCGCGCGCCGCGGGGCGGGGGGACCCCGGGGGGTGCGGGCTGTGCCGGCGGTGCCCCCCCCCCCTCCAAAGCAGCGTCCTGCCCGGGCCCCTTCTCCAGCGGGTCTGCGAACTGGGACGGTATCGATGAGCATCTCTTTGGTGTGACGCTCAGCGCGGCCGAGCGGCTTCAAAACCCTCGCCGAGCAGAGGAGCCTCCTTAGGAGGACGCGCCCGGAGCCGCACTACGAGCGGCACTCGTCCTGGCAGCCAGCGGCCCGAGCCTGGGACCTCGCTTCCCCGGTCACGGTGCTCCGGCGGTGCTGGCCGAGAGTTCCCCGGGCCCCAGCACTGCGTGCGGACCCGCTGCTGCTGTCCCGGGCCCGACCACCCGCTGGCTTCCAGCCGATCTGGCTCCTACTCAAAGCGGAAGGTTTCCTATTGTAGGTTCATTTATTGATGCGCTCTGCAAGCCAGAACCGCTCGCAGAAACCTCCTGCTGACCCTCATTGGATATGGCACAAAAAAAGGTCTCATAGAAGAAGGTTACCTACTGAGATAACTCCATGATAACTCCCTTCTTCACCTCATTAATTGCCCTAAGTAGTGTGCAGACCTGCTCTTAGCAGGACTTCCCTCCTACAGGAGTGGATGGTTTTGATCTGATGGAGAGTGTGGCTTAAAAATCATGTGGCATAGTAATTTCTAACTGTTCTCTGCAACTCATTATGTTTTTACAGCCTCTAACTGTAATCCCCAGGAGGGAACCGCCCTTCTTGTTAGCAGCCATTCAATTGGCTTAGCTGAAATTTAAATGTATGGTTTCCTCTTCAGGTGGCCAGGTGAAGCAACCCCTGGCTCTGGGTGTAACGTGCTCGCACATGGCACACCCTGAGTCAGCAACTGAGCTTAGTCCCTGCCTGCTTCAGAGTGCAGGAGCTTGGGGTGTGTGTAAGGATGACGTGAACGATGGGCTTCTGGCCAGAAACGGTCACAGAGGAAGCTTTGTTCTCAAAGGATCCTTTTCAGATAGATGAGACCAGTACGGTGACTTGAGTAAATGCTATGAAAATATGTTTCTTCAAAAACCTGTACTTGTTGGTAATGTTTTTGCTTGTAGCACCTTGCCAAAATGCATTCCCTTGCACTGAGCCATGAGCCAGGCAAGCTGTTCCTGCCACTGCCGCGTACACGTCTGATCCAGGGAGTGTTTTTGTGGACACAGAATGGAGACAAGTTTTGACCCTGTCTAATTTACTAAATATCAGATGTTGTGTGACATTGCTCAGTCATGTCTGAGTTCTTCAGGCTAATGTGAGGAACGGGAAAAGTTCAGATGCTGTGTGGTTTCTTCTCAGCTCACTCAAATGCAGTTAGCTGAAGTGACTAAAGGGGACGCTTGCTATCGTGCCTCTCCTATCCCCAGTGGGTGAGTGTAGAAAAAAGGGTTTTCTCTCTCTCCTCTAAACATAACTATACTTTTGCTCAGTTTGAGTAGAAGTGTATTTCTTTTTCAGCTGCTAATTCTGGAATTAGAACTCACGTGTGTTGTTGAGTAGTCATTTGAAAGCACCAGTGTTTCCAAGGGGTTTAGTGTGAATAATTCTGGTTTCGGGGGTTATTGACTTACTTATCTGGTCTTGTCAAAAGCATCTTCTTTGATGGGTGAAAAAAAGCACAGGAGACGTAAGAAGCATAAGCATAATCTAACTTTATCTAGAAATAGCAATGTGCCTGTGTGTGTTATACCTAAGAATTCATCCGTATGGGGCCTTAGGGAGCAGGGCACAGGTGGGAATGCAAAGCTTGGCCTGTTCCTGTGGGAAATGTTTCCTCCGAGTACAGGCAATGCCACACACAGCAGCTGTGTTGCATGCACCTACACCTTGGGTGTGTTGCAGCAGTGCGTGGATCCCTTCTCTCTCCAGTAAGGGCAGGTGCCAGGTACCTGCGGCGGCTGTAATGGTTGTCCTTGATGCTGGTCCAATAGAAAGAGACTAGAAAAGCAAGTCATGAGGCCACATCCTTATGCCTTTGTGTCCCCACACTTATGTGTATTCCTGGTTTTGAAGGGTGAGAGTTCTAGCACCGAATTAGTGTGCAGTGCAGCTCTTGAATTAGCTGGATAGATCGTTCATAAATGTAGACTGTCATCTTGTCTTTGGCCCATTGAGAGAAAATCTTCCCATTTTAGGACTTGACTTCTGTAAAGAACTGGTGAGTTGAGTGAGTGGAAGGATTTCTTGTGAAGATAAGGGTTGGAAACTCAGATTACATCTAGTAAGAGTCTGGAACTAGTGTATTTGGTTTATATGTTGTCACAGAGCCAGTTTATCTCGTGGTAGCTTATATAGGGACAGCATTCCCTTCCTTCAACGCAAAGAGGAATCAGTTGGGGTTTGTGAGATGTTCAGCTGTGACAGTGAGGAGGCCATTTGAGCTACTTCTCCTGTAAGCAGTGACTATCTGCACCAGATATGCCAAGCTGGGAGGAGTGGAGATGGCTTGTCTGGGTTCCCAATTCTGCTGCGCGATGGCTTCCCCAGTGTTACCTAAAGGCCAGATTACAGGAGATTATTGTAGGCTGTGAAAAGTGTATAAAAGCAGCAGCAGACATAAGGAAAAACCTCTTCAGGCTTACACTTTGCACTCTAGGGCACGATGATTTTACAGAAACGTTGTAGGAAAATAGAAATCTTTATAACTTGGCAGGGTCTGCGCAGCAGGACGAAGAAATGTGCATCTGGCCTTGATGATAGTAGCAGGACAAAATGGCTGGGGGAGGCAGTGATCTGGCCTTGTGTAAAATGAAGCCGCTGAACAAGTTTTGTCACTTTTCTTGCAGGTGATTGCCCTTGTGATGGATTCCTTCACAGATATTGACATCTTCGGTGACCTTCAGGATGCCTACAACAACCGCAAAGTCCCTGTCTATATCCTTCTTGACCAGGACTTTCTGCCCCATTTCTTGGAAATGTGCAAGAATTTGGGAGTTTGTCCTGAGCAGGAAAGTGTAAGTATGAAATATGGGTGGGTGTGGTTTGTTTTTATTTTTTTTGTGGTACAGTTTATGGTTATGGATATCAAAGATACCCTTCTATAAAACATCAGACTCCCCTGAAAGACTAAAGCATCCTGTAGTTTGATAACTGATATAAAAGGGCATTTGCTGAAATGTGTGCTCAGCTTCTCAAGATCAAGGCTGAATATCACATGGTTTCAGTTCAGTCTCTAATCCAGCATGTGAAATTGCTCACAAACTCAGCAAAAACCATGCAGAAAAGGCACATCTACTACCCTGTGTTACCTGTACGTAGGAGCTGCAGCCTGCTGTGCTGGGTGGAGTGTGCACTGTGATTCCTGTCCTGAGGAAGCAACAATTCTTAAGCATTTTTTGAGGTTGGGTTTGTTTTTTTTTTTTTTTTTTTTTTTTTTTTTTTTTTTTTCAATTTTGCAAGATCTAAGTAGCTTTATTCTTTGGCTCAAGTAACTGATTGCTAAGGAAACAGAAACACTGAAACCTCAAGGATGGTATAAGCTCTGGTAACATCTAATTTCTTTTCTAATACATAGTTGATTTCTTTTAAAAGGATTTAGATGATGTGACCCAGGTGATGCACTTAATTCCTCTGAAATAAGCTAACATGACTGTGTTATGGCTTGGCTTGGACAGGCTTATGTTCACCCCAGTGAGAGTTTCTCTGGATGGGGAAACACTCCCAGCTTTATGGGCAGTAATTAAAGAACTGGCTGTTCTCTCCACAGACTCTCCTAATTTAACAGAAATTTATCACTGTGTAACTAATAACACTCAAATGCAGGCAATGTAAGGGAGTTTTTCATTCCTATCTTCGTAGTGTACATAGCTGCTTTTAGATAGAATTGCTAATCAAAACTTTTTGGAAGTGAATGCAAATCTAATGTTATTTTTTCCCTTCTTTTCTGAAACAGCTGATGAGAGTTCGGACTCTCACAGGGAACACATACTACATGAGGTCAGGTGCCAAAATTGTTGGGAAAGTCCATGAGAAGTTCATGTTAATTGATGGCATTAGAGTGACAACAGGCTCCTACAGGCAAGTATTGGTGTCTGCTGGTGCCTGATGAAGCTATATAAAGGGGGAGTTTCTGCAAGGATGTATTAACTTTGCTGTTTGCCTGGTGTTAATAAATGCCAGTGGCAAGTCAACTAGCTGTGTCTAAGTGGGACTAACACAAAACTGGAAACAGCTTTGGAAAACTGGTTTACACATCTTGTTGCTAGCAAAGTATTTGGCTGTGGCTAAATAGAGTTCTTCCTGAAGAAGAGAGAGTGAATTGTATATTGACTTTATACCTTCCTTATGCACAGCACTTCTAAGCTGAGTCTTGCTATCTGTAACAGTATGTGTGGAAATACACTGGAGATTAACTGTGAATCTTGGTTTGTTTTCAATAGTTTCACGTGGTCTGACGGGAAGCTGAACAGCAGTAACTTGCTGCTACTGTCAGGTCAAGTGGTTGAACACTTTGACCTCCAGTTCAGGATTCTCTATGCCCAGTCGATGCCCATCAGCCCTAAATGGCCGTCCAGCTGCGGGAACAGTGGGATATTTGATCACCTGACGAACAGAACAGAGTCCCCTAAAGAATACACTGTGGAAGGCAACTTGAGAGCAGAATTTGCCAGATTGTCTAGTACTCCAAAGAAACTGTTGAAAGAACTGGATCTGGCTGAAGATACTCCTGGAGGCAAACCTTGTAACCTGGAGCATTCTTGCCTCTGCGAAGAGTGGCGGCTCAGTGATCAAGCGGCCCTAGTGGGACGGAAAAGTGCATCGACTCAAACTGGCCCGTGGGAAGAGAAGCCTGCAGTGACCGCATGTAACGCTGCCACGCAGACCAGAGCTGTAACGGCAGAAACCAGCACTCAGACTTCTGTCACTGCTAGAGTGACGGGCACTCAGACTTCAGTTTTGCTGAAGACTGCAGTGACACAGACAAAGGAAGAGGAGTACACAGGAACACCCCTGCTTCTCAGAAAGTTGTCAAGAGAAGGATCTTCTCTCTCTGGAAAGGCTGTATCAAGTTCTAGTTTGCGATCACTGTCTTCATCATCATCCCAGTGCTCTCTTGCAAGCTCTACTGGCTCACTCTCTTCTCTCCGGTCCTTTGAATATTCTAGCAGCCACAGGGCAGAATATTTCCAAAAATTGCATAAAGAGAGGCAATTCCACTACTCCACTATCAGGTCGAAGCTTAGCCACATGGTGGGTATCCTGTCCCGGAGGGGGCGTGCGCCTGAAAACTACATGCCCCACTACACTGGAAGATGCAATCTAAAACAGAGGCGTGACATCAGTGCCAGCCTGCGCAGCCTCCGGGACGTTTCACTCTTTTCTCTGAATAAATGATTGCTGCACTGAGTGCAGAACACAAGCTCCAGTCTCAAATTGTAGTCACTTTGTACCTGCTGATTCTTCCACTTCCTTCAGCACTTCTTAATTTTTAATACATGTGTACATCAATCTCCAGCACTTTGTTTTATACTATGCAATTCAAGCAATAAAAAAAGGGGTTTATTTACACTGTAACTACTTGCATGTTCCTCTTGTGCATTAGTGGTGAAGGTTCATTTTAATTTTGTAGGTTTAACCTGAAAAGTAAGCTTGTTACTGATTTCAGGGGTTGCTAATTCTCTGTCTTTATGTAAACT